TATCACAATTTTTCAAATCCCCTTTCCCACCACCCCCACCACCTTCAACGGCCTTTTTCACTATCTCCAACCCCCTTTCGCAGCTCCACCATCGCTCAGTAGCAACCCTTTCTCACCTTAGCAATCGTTTTCAAACATTTTCTTTTCTATGCTTGATTTTTGTTCGGATAAAACAAACTCGATTGGTTTGACCATGTTAGATCAAACAAACTAAGTTGTTTGGCTAGAAACAACTGACAAACCAAGTTTGTCTAGTTATAACCAATTGAATGAGGCAAAATTGGTGAAATTGATCACATTTGACTTTAGTAATCCGAACAATCTTAAAATGATTGGTTGCCAAAGACCACATAATCATATAATATGTTTGGCGAATCAAAGCTGAATGGAGTTTCAACTCTATTTTTTTCAAAATCGCACAAAACACATCAAAATGATAATAAATCACACCAAACATCTCTTAAATATCAAAATCTTGTACATAATTTAGTTCCAATTATTATATATACGTTTGAACTATGAAATTTTATTTTTATTTTTGTTTGTTGTTATCTTGTGTTCTTTGTAACAGTTGATTTTTGAGGAACATAAGAGGGCTAAAAAATGGCGTTGTTGGTGAGAGGGGTTAGGGTTGTTGACTGGCTGGCAAAGAGACGGGGTGGTCAGAGGAGGTGGTAGCAGTGGTGATGGGTGGGATTGACTTTTAGTTAGGGTTTTGATGGGATTTAAGTATAAGGAAAAAATTGGTATTCCATGTTAGGATAAATTTGTATTAAAAAATAAATAGAGAAGGTAAAAAGTCCTAAGATAAAAAGTGGGGGGCTATTAACCGCCCTTTAATCATTGTTGACACATTTATAATAACAAACTTTTCATTTGAAGGAGGAAAAAGTTAACATAAACAATTGTAAATCAATATACTCCATTTTAAAATTTTTTAATGATTGGGGCTATTACATTATTTTAACGGTTCGAAATAATAACAACAATTCATAGCATGACATTTTGTAGAAAGTATAACTTGCGAAATATTTTAACGTTTTATTGATACTTCTTAATTATACAAAAGATGGCATATACATGTATACATTCATAAATCCTAAATTCTGATTCTATAACATATACCATTTGTAAGTGAATGGAAACAAAATGGTGTACAGATAAGTTCATGCCCTACTATCTACATCTTTCCAAGTCAATACTTGGGTACAACAAAAGTAAGTCAAACTCAATACATAGAAAGCCCAAGGCTTGTACAAAAACAATTACACAAAAGGAATAAAAAGAAGCTCTCAGCTCCAAGTCCTCCCAAGGTATGTCATTGGTGGAGGCATATCATTAGCACCTGAAAGTTGTTTTCCACGTAGGGTGAGCTAAAACCTAGTAGAGATATTTTAACACAACATATAAAATTAATAAAGTCATAAGGTGAATCCACATGCATGTCATTTGCCAAACATTATACTTTTCCATCTCAAAATAATGTAATGCCAATATTATATATCAATTCATGAAAAATATACTTTTATATCAGAAAAATAGGGTAGTGGATACAAAACACTAGGAATATCTAAGTATGTGTCTATCAGTATACAAGCATTACCAAAGCTATTTTGCTGATGCTAACTGAAATGATCAGTATCTAACTGCGCGGATTTCTGCACTTTTACTAAGGACACACAAGCCAACAATATAAATCACAACCACACCTTCTAACTAGATTCACCAAGGTATACACCCATTTTTTTTTAAAAAATAATATATTTTCAATGTTCAAATATGAAACAATGTTCAATGCAAAATGAATGAGTAGTTAATTTCGATTAACCTAACTCTCATGGAATTTCTATAACAATCAAAACTATCCTCTATTGATAGTCCAAAACAGATATTTCTACTCAACAGATAATTTTTCAATAACAGATAAAATCTCATGAATTTTAAAATGGGAGTGATAATAAATATCAAACTCTACTCTTATCATTAACAAATACATTCTCAATATTTTTTCAAAGCCCAACATCATTTCATTTTCTTTCATAATTCAACATCCATGACTTTTTCAAATAAAACCCCCTTTATTTTCAAAATTACACTTGAGGAAGGAATTTTCAACCCAACCCAACAATATACACACTTCCACAATCCTTCTCAAGAATTTATTTGAAAAACCCTACTTTTTCATTTCAAAATCAAAACCCTAGATTTAACCTAAAATCTCCAAATTACTAAACATTTTCAAAGAGCAAATAACTAAACTAAGAATCATAGAAAAGGTTGAAGAAATTCCTACCTTAAGAGTAGAAGAAGAAGAGAGCAAGGATAAAACTTTGACGGAGCCGAAAATAAGATCCTCTCCGATTAACATGAAACTTTTGACGAGCTTTACCCTTTTTTTTTCCAAGGAGCTATGGTGGAAAAATCAATGGGTGAGATGTATTTGAGGTTTTAAAGTAAGAACTAGAGAGAGAAAGTGAAGCAATTAGGGTTTGGGGTGTTTGAGAGAGAGAGAGAGAGAGAGAAATCAACAAGTGATTTAAAACCCCCTTTCCCTGAACTGATATATGAACAGACCACTCGAGCATCGAGCGACCTAAACACTGCTCGAGTGTATAATGACCCCCTCCCAAAAGTTTTGTAGACTGCAGAGACCGCTTGAGCATAGGAAATACCGCTTGAGCAAAGATACCTTACTCCTAAAAGTTTTGCAGACTTAGATTTCAAAGACCGTTGGAGTGACCAAAATACCGCTCGAGTGAACAAGAAAAAAACTAGACAACAACTTTTTTGAAAAAGTAACTCCAAACTTGTTTCAAACACAACCAACAACCCAACTAAACTACCAACAAGAGGATAAAGGACATGAACAACAATTAAAGGTACGGTATCTTGAATCTAAGAGTATGAAATCGTTGGATTTAAACTGGAACCGTTATAATTATTCAAACATAATTTTCGTATAAAATGATGTACCTATTTAGAGTCTTTTTATTTCAAATCAAAACAAGATATCATTGTGGTCCATAATTTAAAAAAAGGGAGAATTCCAAATTAGTGGAAAGTTAGAAAAAAAAAAATTACACATAGATGGTAAATTTTATAAATATTAATAATTAAAATTATAAAATTTTTAATATCTTGATAAATATTTTTCTAAAAATCACATAATTGTAATTACCCCTTTTAAAAAATCGTCTTAATACTATTTGTATGGGGAGCATTACTATATTTCCTCATCATATAATCTTTTTTATTATTATTTATTTCATAAATCATTTGACAATAAAACTTTTGTACAACAATTATTATTACTAATATTATTATTATTTATTATCGATGGTTGCCAATAACACTCATTTGCTTGAGAAGTTATTTGGTGGTTCTAAAGCATGACCACATTAGTTACTTCGCTCAACAAATAATTATAATGTAGTTAGGTCATGTTTGTTTGGCTCCATAGGTGGGGGATTAGACTATCAATCCTATGGGTCTTACATAGCCCATATTTGATTGACAAAAATAAAAAGGGACTAGTTGTCCCGGGACTATGAATACTTTCACATAGGGGGATTAGTTTGGCTGAATTTTAGATGAGATTAGGAAAATAGTGAGGGGATTGAATATATTTTATATAAAAATTTTAATTTTATTTTTTTTACCAAGTGCATCTGTTTGTTTTAATATTTGTTCTAATTTTTTTTAAATAGAAATAATTTATTTATTTATTTTATATAAAAATAATTTAACAATTCCATCACTAATCATCTCCCATGCTATCATCAAAATAAACACACTTTTACTTAATCCCCTCATTAACAATCTCCACATTAACAATCTCTTCATTAACAATCATTTTACTAATAATTCCATCAAACTTAATTCGCCAAACAAACGTGACCTTACAGGGCAATCAAGAATCTGAGTTAGTCCTGGAGTGTTGTGAGGAGAGAGTAAGATCCATAATTTTACATTAGGGTCATAGCAGGGGCATGTAGTTTGGTGACAGGCATTGCTCGAATAATTTTTCAATTTGCCTAACAACATTGTCAGGACAGTGAGTACTATCTCTGGGAAGAAGAAAAAAAGGTGAACGTGGCGAGTAGGGCGGGTGGTCATCTATCTTGACATTGGGTATCCAAATGGTGAATTCAAGAAGGATTGGAGTAGTCCAGAGGGTTTTGTCGACATTGCCATCATGCTGTTTGATGAAATGCATGTATGGTGTATGAGATGTTTTGGAACATGTTTTTAGAGGAAAATTTTTAAAAACATGTTTGGTTATAAATTTTTTCAAAAAAAATCTAATTTTTTTTAATTATATATCAAGCAATTACTTTTTCTTTCTTATTTCTCTTTTTCAATCACTTTTTTTCTTATACACATCTACTCAATTATAATAAAATATCATATTATCTTAAACTCCCAAACTCTAAAACTATTTTCAAAATATACAACTATACAAATTAAAAAAATTTCTAAACTCTCTTCCTAATTTTTTTTTTTTAAAAATTTATCTCAAAACACAAATCAAACACACCATAAAAGTTGGGAAAGAAATTAAAAAAGTGTATTTTTTTTTAAGTTTTTTTTTACATACATTTGTTCTCTACTTTTTTAACCACTTTCTTTACTTTCTTACATAATTTTTTTTTATATAAAAAAATTAAAACATCCCAAATCACGCTTAAATTTGAATCCAATCCAACAATTATTTACCTAACTTGTTTTAATTGTCGTGCTTGAATGCAAGAACTAAAAAAACAAGCAGATTCATATATATGAACCAACAAATAATATATAAATCAGTGATTAATCTTGTACAACATAAACATGTGTGTACAATAATAACTCTCATTTCATTTCCCTCTGTAACTTCACAAAAAAGAATAATTAAATACATCAAGTATCCATCACTCTCGAAGATCTAGTGCTTCATGAGAACGAGAAGAGAGAAAACAATCGAAGAGCACACAACAGCTCCAGAGATCGGCAATGAGTACGCAGATCCAGCGTCCATTGACGGCGACGGTGCCGGAGCCATCTCGAATTCTTGCGCTGATCCAATAGCTGAGAGGATTGCGACTACGACCACGAAGACTGTCAAAGCCTTGAAGGAGCTCAATTGCGCCATCGCAGATCGAAGAGATATATATTGAGAGATAGAGAGAGTGTCAATGGGAGAAACGAGGAGAGATTGAAAACAGTCGAGACGATGGTGATGCTTAATGGAAGAGGAAAGGCTTAGGAGGGAGATATATATAGGACGGAAAATTATTAGGCGCGTGGGACCCATAGAAAACGTGGACAGTTTAAAAAAGCAACGTTCACAAAACTTGTACCGGTCGAGTCCAAGCTTGAAAGGTTGGCAGACATGAAAAAACAACGCGGATGCTATGAAAAATTTAGTATAGGTTTGACAAGTTTAAAAAAAAGTTAAAAAGGTATTATTTTATTTAGGTTATATTATTTTATTTAAGTTACATATCATTTTAAATTTAATCTAAATCTAATTAATATTTTATAAAAAGTCAAAAAATATAGTTATTTAGATTATTCCAAACAACCATTTAAGTATATGATATGTAGTACTTTTTATTATTGTGATTAGCTTTGACAGTAAGATTCATTATAGGAGAGATTGAAAACAGTCGAGACGATGGTGATGCTTAATGGAAGAGGAAAGGCTTAGGAGGGAGATATATATAGGACGGAAAATTATTAGGCGCGTGGGACCCATAGAAAACGTGGACAGTTTAAAAAAGCAACGTTCACAAAACTTGTAACGGTCGAGTCCAAGCTTGAAAGGTTGGCAGACATGAAAAAACAACGCGGATGCTATGAAAAATTTAGTACAGGTTTGACGAGTTTTAAAAAAGTTAAAAAGGGATTATTTTATTTAGGTTATATTATTTTATTTAAGTTACATATTATTTTAAATTTAATCCAAATCTAATCAATATTTCATAAAAAGTTAAAAAATACAGTTATTTAGATCATTCCAAATAACCATTTAAGTATATGATATGTAGTACTTTTTATTATTGTGATTAGCTTTGACAGTAAAATTCATTATATTTATATTGAGTATTTAGAAAATAATAGTGGACATATGCATTTGTGATTAACATACAAAAATTTCTCCGATCCTGTCATTTTACGTGTCCAAAATTAGAGAAATAATTCGGTGCACAAGGTCTCGTATTCTGTACCCCAAAAATTAGAGAAATAATTCGGTGCACAAGGTCCCGTATTCTGTACCCAAAAAAAAAAGAAAAAATTCTCAATTGCTATGAAAAATGTTAGACCCTAAAAGTTTTATTAAATTTTTTTATTAAATGTTTCATATGAGTGTGAGTAATGACGGAGTCAGGAAATTAGGTTAGAGGCACTTATTAATTATAATTTTTTATTTCAAAAAAAATTATAATAAAAAATTTATGAGCAACATTAAGATAAAAATAATTTTATGAGATAAATTTAAACATAAAAACTACATATTCATTATTAATAGAACAAACCAAAATTCTATAATAGTGTGGAATAACTCGATATAGAATGATAATGTAAGTTTTTAATTTTAGCACAAAAAATTATAGATCAAAATTTCTAATTTTAAAAAATAAAAACACATCATTTATTGCACAAATTATTATAAAATCTATTTAATTTTTATTTGAAAGAAAAATATTAAAGAGATGACATTACTTATAATGATGTGTTTTGATGAAAATTATTAAATAGTCTTAGAGTACCATATGGCATTACCTACGTGATGCTCAAATCATAGAAAATCACACTAAGTGGTATGTCAACTACTTGAAATAATGAATTCATTAAATCCAATCTATAATATTTTTCGCTACACTATTGATTTAAACTATTATATAAATAATATCACATAGTGTTTCTAAAGTATCAAATAACTATTTGTTGTGAACAATATAATAAATCTTTAGCCAAAGAATATGTTAAAAAAAAAAGAATACATTTTATAAATAACCAAAAAAAAAAATCAAAACTGAGGAGGGGGGTGCGTGACCCACCTGGCCCTATGCTGCTTCTGCCTCTGAGTGTGAGACTCACACATGTGAGTTTCATACTAATATGAATATTTAGTAAAAGATTTAATAAAATTTTTAGAGTGTCTAATATTACTCATTGCTATTATATCAACACAAAATTATGTGACTCGCCCTCTTCATTAATTGCAACCGGTGCGGCGCACAACTTGTCCATGCTGTTCGCGATGCTAATAAGCTCTCCCAAAATTGAATTGAGTTTTTTAACTGAGGGAGAAATTTGATGGGTTGATTACATTTTTCATCTATAAAGTATTAGTTTGTGTCATTTGGTTGTTAATTTTTAAATTATGTCAATTCACTTTTTTTATTTTTTATATTGGTGTTAAGTTTTTATAATTGGCAATTCTAGTTGACAAAGTTCTTTTTAATTGTAATTTTATTCGCTCTTATATTTTAAGTAAGAATGTGAGTGCGTAAATGCGAATCCAACTCAAATGCAGAGGAGTTCGTTATCAAGGTGGTTTGATTGCTCGAGTAGTCATTTATACACTTGAGCGGTGAATGGAATCATCTAGTACTTTCGCAGAGCACTTGAACTTTTGGAAAGAAAGTTTTATCGCTTGAGCGGTCTTCGCAATTCAGTTTAATATAAAGTGTGCAAGTTGCTGTGTTTAGGGGTTGAACCATCCAGAATCTTATAGAGAAAGAAAATATAAAGTGTTTTATATGGAAAATTGTTTTATATGAGTTTCCTTGGTGTATAAAAGGTAATCGATTGATCAACGTAATACAGGTTGTCAAACATTAGGGGCGTGTTTGGTAATCATTCCGTTTTCAGTTTTCAGTTTATATTTACAAAAATTTAAAAAGCTATTATAAAAACTTATTTGATAATTTTTTGGGTTTATAAATGGTTGTCTTAGTTTATAAATTTGAGGAAAAAACGTAAACTCAAAAAATGAATTTACGTTTTTAGTTTTTAATTACTTTTTTTCAATTATTTTTTTAATTAATTTTTTTCCCAATTAAATTTTTTTTAATTATTTTTTTTTCAAATATTTTTTTTTCAATTATAATGTATGTAATCCCATTGTCATAAATAAAAAAATAAATATAAATATTTTAGGCCTGAACAAATATTTTTTTTAGTTTATGTTTTTTATTTTTTTTAAACATTTTGTTCAAACCAAACACGTTTGTAATTTATGTTTTTCTAAAAATAAACAAAAACCAACTTATAAAATTTTTGTAAACATATAAACAAAAAACGTAAACGTTACCAAACGCTACCTAAGAGTTTGTTCTTATTATTTTGTTCACAAAAGAAAGAGGTGTTCTTCGGTGGATTCACTACAAGAAAATAGATTATTGGCGACTAAAAAATCACATTTCGTCGCCGAAAGTATAGCATTTGGCGACTAAAAATACATTAGTAGCCAAAAGTAAAGATTTTTGGCGACTAAAAAAATTTAGTAGCCAAAAGTATAGGTTTTGGCGACTAAAAATCTGTTTGGTCGCCGATATATGACTTTTAGCGACTAAAAAAATTTTAGTAGCCAAAAGTAAGGCCTTTTGGCAACTAAAAAAAATTTAGTAGCCAAAAGTGAGGCATTCGGCGACTAAAAATCTGTTTGGTCGCCAAAAGTGAGGCTTTTACCGACTAAAAAAATTTTAGTAGCCAAAAGTAAGGCCCTTTGGCGACTAAAAAAAATTTGTAGCCAAAAGTGAAGCATTCAGCGACTAAAAACATGTTTAGTAGCCAGAAGTGAGGCTTTTTTGGCGACTAAAAAGAAGTTTAGTCGCCAAAAGTGATAATTTTAGCACGGGAGTTTTTTTTTTAACGACTAAAAAATAATTTGTAACCAAAAGTATAGAATTGACGACTAAAATTATGTTTAGTCGCCAAAAGTGGTCTCTTTCTTTTTTTTGCTAAATAATTTATTTTTGCATAAATTATGTTCAATAAAAAATAATTATGTTTATATATATACTTTTATATTAATACGGGTCTAAGTACTATATAAATAATATATGTAGCATATATAATCATATGATGTTATGGAGGCGTAGTGGAAGGAGTGTGTTGTATAAGATTTATGGTGTGAGAGGTTGATGGTTTGAATCTCTACAAGAGCATAGTGTAATTTTTTTTTTTCGGAATGAGCTTTTGGCGACTAAATCTGTTTGGTCGCCGATTCCTTAAGTATTGGCGACTAAAATATTAGTCGATAAATGTATAATTTAAAAAAATATAATTGACTATTGGCGACTAAAAATTTAGTCGCCAAATGTATAATTAAAAAAATATAATTGACTATTGGCGACCAAAGTTATAGTCACTAAAGACTTGCTTTTTGGCGACTAAAAGTTTTTTAGTCGCCAATACCTTTTCCGACCGTTTTCCAGCGACCAAACCGACGACTAAAAAATTTAGTTGGGAAAACTTAAAAACCGACTTTTGGCGACTAAAAATTGAATTTTGGCGACTAAAAATTTAGTCGCCAAATGTGTTTTTTCTTGTAGTGATTCCGAGGAATTTGGGATTGAAGTTTGGGTAGATTTTGGAGTGACTCGTCGTCGTGGATTCGAGATTGGTGTTGTGGATTTAACGTTGGGTAAGACAATTTCAAAGTGAAGATGATGGTGGAAGAGACACATCGGGGTTGGTTCAATTTGGACATAAATTCACTAATTAATTGAGGGTACAATTGTTGATTTCTTTTTGTCTTCTTAGTGAATTGTTTTGTGGTGTTGACATGTGATTTTTTATCACAATTAGAGGGTGCTCCAATTGTAATTTTTTTCACGTTAAATCGTTGTGTCGATTTGTTCTTGATTGTTTAATTGAGATTGTTATTCATTATTTAAAATTGAAATATAATCACAAGTCAATATCTTAGAGGTTTTAGATTCTTCAATTGCTGTCAATTTAGTTTCTAATGTATAAAAAATATTTCAATTTGGTATTTAATGCTTTAAATTGTATCAATTTGATCCTTAATATATACAAAGTGTTTATGCTTGATCCTCGAATTTATACTTCTGGAATCAGCCTAAAGAACCTTGCCCAGCACACCATTTCCGATGATCTAAAGAAAAAAAAATATAC